CCGGTGCCAGCCCACAGCTCCCACTCAACAAGTGGGTTTTTGCCCTATGAGCGAACCCCGTCCAACTCCCTCACTTGCAGGATGAGACGGAAACCAGAGACGTTCAGGGCCCTGACCCCGGTAACCCAGCAGCGAGGGCTGGAATAAGGCAGCGAAGTCTCCGAGGCCAGCTGTTCCGTGCAGAGTCCCTTCAACTAACTTCGCATGGAAATCGGGGGGCGACTCCTGTACCATCTGCCCGACCCGTCACCTTGTTCCCCGCCTGCTCCCCCTGACTTCCTCGCGTACTCCCTCACTCCCCGCTCACGTCTGGTGAACCTGGAGGTGAGGTTGCGAGCGCGGGAGTCGGGAACATTTGGAGGAACCCGTTGATGCTGCGGCCAAGTGACTAAGGAATACATCGGGCCTCCCCATGCCAGCCATGCCAGCATCACCGGGCTCTGCAAAGGCGGCAACCCCCAGCCTCGGGCGGGGGGCCGGGCCACTCCCCGGCTGTCCAGCCTGGGGCTCCAGGCCCCCGGGCGAGGCAGGCTGCGGGCAGGCGGCAGGAGAGGCCAGCGGGGACCCGTGGGAGGGGCGCCCGCCTCCCCACCCCGGCTCCCCGGGCAACGCCCCGCCGCCGGCGCTCACCGAACACCAGGATGTTCTTGCCAGACGGCAGCTTGGACCTGGCGCGGGTGGACACCTCGCTCAGGATCGAGGACCTGCGGGGACAACGGCAAAGCGGTCAGTCCCGGCACCCGCCTGGACCTCCCCGGCGCCGGAGGGCCCGTCCGTCGGTCCGACGGTCCGGCCCAGCCCGGTCGGCTCCCCGCCCGGCCGCGCCCTCCCCGGCCAGGCAGACCCAGCCCGGCCGTCTCGCGGACTCACCAGAGGCTCTGGCCCTCCTCTTCCTCGCTGGTCAGGTCGCCGGCGGCCGCCACCGCGGGCCCGTTGGGGCCCAGCAGCACCTTCTTCTCCACCCCCACCGGCGCCATCTTGCCAACTGCAGCCACAAAGAGGGCCCTCCCCCGGGCCCGCCGAGGACCCGCGAGGACCCTGGCCGGGGCGCCCGCCGCCCGCCGGCTCCTTCGCCGCTCCTCGCGTCGCCTGCCCTGCAGATCCGCGTCGCCGGCCGGGCGCCGCCTGGAACGCGATGCCCACAGGCTCCCACGGGTCGTGAGGCCGCTCCGCTGGCGGGAGGCGGGCGGCGGTCAGGCGGCAGCCGGGGCAGCCCTGCGCAGGGAGGCGGCGGCGGGAGCGAGAGCCGCGGGGACCGGGCGCGCTGGCGGCCTCTGCCGGCCGAGCGGTGCAACAGCACCCTCCCGGGTCCTCGCGCTGGCCGCTCCCCGCGCCGTCGGAGGCCGAGGCAGCCCGATGGACAGACGCGAGAGGCCCAGGTTTTGGAATGAGACGAATCCCTACATTGCACCGTTTACCTAGCTCTTACTTGTGTGCCAGGGTCACATTTTCTCCCTGAATCGAATCTAACCCGTTTACAGACGAGGAACCTGAAGTTCACAAAGCTTAAGAAACCCGCCGAAGAACTCCACGCTAGAAGATAGCGTCCGGGTCCTTGCCATCTTATTCACAGATACTGACCAGTTATATCAGGACTTTGCCTAATCCTAATCAAACCCCGCATGGAAAGATGAGCCTTAAACCAGACCTCCAATTCTCATAAATACATAAATATCCCTTCTTTCGCCCCCTCCTTCACTGACCCTATTAAGATTGTGAGGTGGTATTCTTCACCGCAGTTGACAATACACTTGAGTTTACTTCATAAACAGGTTAAAAAATATCAGGAAGCCAGCATTTGGCGGCTTTCATTTCCTTTCTTGGGGGTGGGGAGGGGGGTAGAAAAAGGAAGAGATGTGAAAAGGGAAGGGATGGGGAAGAGAAAGGGGAACGAAGAGGATAATGGAAGAAAAGGAGAGAAAAAATACATTTTACCTATCAAACTTAAATTTAGGTGTGGCCACCACCTGAGGACTCCTGCTATGTGCTGTGGAAACAGGCTCACTTTACAAGGTGTTTCTAAATATCACAAGGAAGTGGGATATAGCAGAAAAGCAGCCACCTACCTGGGTTTCAGATGGGTAGGATTCTGGTCCTGGCTCTGCCAACTGGATTATAGGATCCAACAAATGGACATGTTACAGGAAAGGGGACCTGACCCTTGGGGGGCCAGGGGGTCTGCCTAAAGCTGGCCGTTAGTGTGAGGGTTCTTGACTTCACAACAGGAGTCCAGGTGACATGAGGGAACATTTATGAAAGCTGGGGACAGTAAAACAAGGAAGGGCTTAGCATCGAAGAAGCAACAGGAGAGCCTTAGCTCTCTGGGAAGTCAGAGAAAAGGGATACTGGGGAACAGGTTAAGGCAGCCGTGGGCAAACTACGGCCCACGGGCCGGATCCAGCCCGTTTGAAATGAAAAACTAAAAAAAAAAAAAGACCATACCCTTTTATGTAATGATGTTTACTTTGAATTTATATTAGTTCACACAAACACTCCATCCATGCTTTTGTTCTGGCCCTCCGGTCCAGTTTAAGAACCCATTGTGGCCCTCGAGTCAAAAAGTTTGCCCACCCCTGGGTTAAGGGGTTAGCCTGGGATGAGCTGCTCTTGCACAATGCTCCCCTGGTTGCAAGTCTCATGTGGTCCTTTAGAATTTAGGATACGTGCCTTTGGGGAATGAAGAGAGGGAAGGGAAACAGAATGGTGGGGGCTGCTCCCCAGAGAGCAAGCAAGCACTGGGTCCTTTATCTTGAGGGTTTCATCTCTTTCTTGCAGGCGGGAATATTAGGGGAGGTCTCAAGGGTGTGTTTCAGCAGAATATTCATCAGTTTTCTAGGCATGCTCCTTCAGGGTTGTGGTCTCCACTGATTGGTCAGTGTCAGGGCAAGGGGTCATTAGTCATTGCAGCTGGTCCTGGTGTCATCCACGTGGTTTTGCTGCTTTTCTGAGCCTGCAGCTGAAATACAACTGAGGTCTAGATGTTATCTCTAGGGAGGTATCTGTTGTAAATTGCCCTGCCAGTTTGTTCAACTAACTACCTTGCATATATATATAAATTTTTAAGGGCCTGTCATTATTAAAATCCCAAATATGTCATTATTTTTTAGCTTTCCTTTTATTAATTTATTAACAAACTAGAGGCCTGGTGCACAAAATTCATGCAAGAGTAGGCCTTCCTTCCCCCAGCTGCCGGTACCAGCTTCCCTCCAGCACCTGGGACCCAGGCTTCCCTCCGGCCATTGGCAGGCCCCCGGGACCTGGGCTTCCTTCTGGCTACCAGCCGACACCTAGGACCTGGGCAGCCCCAGCTTCCTCTGGAAGGTCATCTGGAAGGACGTCTGGTCTAATTAGCATATTACAATTCTATTATTATAGATATCTCCATTTTAGAGGAGGAAAGCAGCTTATGCTAACCAAAGATTAGCCAAGGGTTAGGGTAAAATAAGGTTTCAGAAGGCAGGTTATTTTGAATATAGTGTCAGTGACAAACACAGAAGTGTCTAAACTACAGTATGTCATACTCTTGGGGATGCTTCTGTAAGCACTGTTTGGTGACTGTGTTACATACATAATTTCCATAGAACTGTTATGTAAGACCCACCTAATGTGGAAAAATATGTTTAAATCTTATCTGAACAATGGTAAGAGACAATTATCTAAGCCAATGAGGCTGAGGCAACAGCCAGAATGTTTACCCCTTTGATCTAAAACAACTTTCACAAATCTTGAGAAGTACAAATCAAAATAACTCAGCAAGACTATTTAATCCCCAAAGTGCTTAGGAAACAGATATTGGACTAGATTCATTTACACTTTAAATACTGCAAGGGATTTTACTAATTGCCAATTATTCTTTTGCCTAGAGGAAATTTTGGATATAAATAGAAAATTTTCTTATTGATCCTCTGGAATTTTCAGTGTGTGTCAGAAAATAAGAAATTTAATAAAAATTTGTTTCATCTAAGTACAAATAGTCATGATCTGAAAAGGTCAAAGAACTCATGCTTACACAGAAATGCCCTTTGGGGCTGAAGAACCTACTACAATGACATGGAGCAGTGCTCCAAAGGGTGCAGAAGCACAGTGGAGCTTTCAGGCCCTTATACTTGATCCCTTTGCCACAGCAACATTTTAAGTATAATGGAGTCTGCAACATCTTTGGGGATCATGATGGAATACAAAAAAGAGTAAGAAAATTGAGATGTAACTATAAAAAGCTCTTCTGAATTTTTAAAAAGCAAAAGTAAATATACCTAAACCAAAAGTAGTGAACCTGACCATAGAATTTTAAAGTATTCAAAGGAACTTCACAATTAGCCTTTAGAAAACTTAAAATTTTTAATTGATTTGAGAGAGGGAGGAGGGAGAGAGACACACACACACATAGACATTACTTTTTGTTGCTCCACTTCTTTATGCATTCAGTGTTGACCCCTGTACATGTCCTGATCTGGGAACGAACCCACAGCCTTGACCTATGCCATAGGGATGACACTCTAACCAACTGAGCTACCCAGCAAGGGCAAGGAAACATTTCAATTAACAAAATGTCAAACATTGATTTAGTGTGTGGGAACCTCATCTGAGCAGCTTGGGAAATTATTCTCTTTCTGGAGAGGAATTGTCACTGAGTTAAGAATACTAAAATCCAAATGTTCACACAGTGTTCATTACAATATAATGTCAAAGTGTAAAGGCTGCTTTTTTCTCTGACCTATGTTCTTTGAGCTTAAGGAAAAATAAAAGCATATTCTTAAACAAATGTTTGACCTAATGAAGGAATTTTGTCTTACTAATCCATACCTTGAAAATGTATTTATTTTATAAAAAATGTTTTTATTGGCTTAGAGAGGGATAGAGAGATAGAACATTGATCAACTGCCTCCTGCACGCCGCCTACTGGGAATTGAGTCCACAATCGGAGACTGCGACCCAACCAGGAATCGAACAGGGGACCTCTTGGTTCATGGGTTGACACTCAACCACTGAGCCACACCAGCCAGGCTAAACTATTTTAATATTTTGCTGTAGCATCACATCACAAAAAGAATTTAATGTAAATAGTATTCCTGTTGCCACATTCCTTGTCTCATGAGAGTTTAGAAGAATATTTTAAATTTTGTATCTTCAAGGCACTGTATTTTAAGAGTTCACAATAGGAAAATAAAAATAAAATGAGTTCACAATAGAAACTGGCAAGTTTTCTTCCAATTAAGGAGCCACAAACTTGGGGCGTTTGGTCAGCTTGTGGTATTTCTGAGCAAGGTCAACAGACTTCCGTCCTTGTTGAAAGGGAAAAGACCACAAAATTGCATTCCAGTGATTTCCCATTCTCTTAACTCCACTGAAAATGTAATTCACTTCTTCTTCAGTAAAGTTTTTACGAATTTTTCTTTCTTCTGCAATGAGAATTGGAGTACATATTAGTACCTGCTGGAAAAATAAAAATCTTCTTGAGACCCAAATAAGTACGTAACTTATTCTAAAGATAAGAACTATATAGTGAGAAAACTTCATGCCTGGGCTACTTATCAAATAAAAATCCATTTCAATTTTTAGAAGCTGAGTGCCTTCTATTAAGCTAGATGTTATCACTGTGACTTCTTCAATAATTTTATCCTATTGTAATAATACTTGCAACATTTTTCAATAAAGAAACACAAAAGTTTACAAACATTTGACTGTTAATTCTCTTGATATTCCTGTGAGGACAGTTAATAAGCAGCTTACCTATCTTATAGATACAGTCTTCCCAAAGGGCATCATAACTTCATAAAATAAAAAAGAATATCAACATTTGTTATTTTAATTCAGTCTTAATATTTTTTTAAAAATAAAGGTCTTGAAATTTGCTTTAAAAATTCACTACTTATATGGATGCTCAGCTTGTTAAAACTTTTTAAAAAACGGCTGCAAAAGGGGGAAGGAAAATTTTAACTGATTTTTAGAAATACTTTCTACAACAGAAAGAATGCACAGTTGGTATCTGTAAACACAAATATCTTCTGGCGATGATTATTAGGAAACAGTTCTTTTTAGCTTTTTCGTTCATTGCTAATTCATGTTATCATTGTAGGTAGATGCTAATGAGGAGGGGTTTATTTGGTATATTCACTTAAGGCTGCTATTTACTTTAGTAGGACCTGGAAAACTCTTAGAAAATCTTGTCCTTGCACGTCAAGACTATTAGCTATTTGTCCACCTCTCCTAGGACAGGAGCCACAGTTCAGATCTTTTAAAAGAGAAGAGAAAGTCTTACCAGCAGAAGGCTGATAAATAAATGAAAATAACATCTGAGTATAACTTAATGATCTTACTTAGAATGCAAGCTCCATGAAGACAGAATTTTTGTCTGTTTTGCTCACCATTATATCCCCAGGGCCTAAAACAGTGTCTGACACATAAGAGGTGATCAATAAATATTTGTTGAAAGAAAGAAGTAATTGGTAAAAACTGTTTTGTTTTTAATTTTTAAAAAATATATTTTATTGATTTTTTTTGCCGAAACCGGTTTGGCTCAGTGGATAGAGCGTCGGCCTGTGGACTGAAGGGTCCCAGGTTCGATTCCGGTCAAGGGCATGTACCTGGGTTGCGGGCATATCCCCAGTAGGAGATGTGCAGGAGGCAGCTGATTGATGTTTCTAACTCTCTATCTCTCTCCCTTCCTCTCTGTAAAAAATCAATAAAATATATTTAAAAAATATATATATTTTTTATTGATTTTTTACAGAGAGGAAGGGAGAGAGACAGAGAGTTAGAAACATCGATGAGAGAGAAACATCGATCAGCTGCCTCCTGCACACTCCCCACTGGGGATGTGCCTGCAACCAAGGTACATGCCCTTGACCGGAATCGAACCTGGGACCCTTCAGTCCGCAGGCCGACGCTCCATCCACTGAGCCAAACCAGTTAGGGCGGTAAAAACTGTTTTAAAGCTTATAAATGAAATTACTCCTTATTTTTGGGTCTACTGGAAAACTGAGGTTATCTAAGAAATTATTTGTTTCACTTGCTAAATGATTTCAACTCATTATAATCAGTATTAGATGGGTTATTATAACATTCAGGAGATTAGGGTACAGAATTGTTCATATAAAGCTAATCCCCACTTTTCCATTGCAGCTGCCACCTCATTGATTCCTACACTTAACATCTGTGCCCAATTCCCCAAAGGTTAGTGCAGCTGAGTAGTAGACAGTCTAGAACAGCCGTGGGCAAACTACGGCCCGCGGGCCGCATCCGGCCCGTTTGAAATGAATAAAACTAAAAAAAAAAAAAGACCGTACCCTTTTATGTAATGATGTTTACTTTGAATTTATATTAGTTCACACAAACACTCCATCCATGCTTTTGTTCCAGCCCTCCGGTCCAGTTTAAGAACCCATTGTGGCCCTCGAGTCAAAAAGTTTGCCCACCCCTGGTCTAGAAGGAAGCAGCAGTTCTGTACAGCACAAGGCTCCCCTCTGTGGCTTCTTCACTGTTCCTCTTGATATTGATTGGACAGTAGGAAAGAACAGGAAAACAGGCCAGAAGGCCCAGTTTTAGACTTATTGTTCAAGTCCCTTTAAGATACCAATCCATCTCAAAAAAGAGCCTTGTCCCTGAGGCTCTTTAAATTTTTTAAAAATTGATTTTAAAGAGAAGAAGAGAGATAGATCAATTTATTGTTTGACTTATTTATGCATTCATTGGCTGCATCTTATACGCACCCTGACTAGAGATCAAACCCACGCCTTGGTGTGTTGGGATAGTGCTTTAACCAAGAGTGAAATCAGCCAGGGCACTGAGGCCCTTTAAATGCTTAGATGCTGCAATGGTCCCTTCTCAGAAGAATCATCTCAAATTTAAGTGTAACCTATAACCAACTGATCTTACAGTTTCCCTCAGGCCTCAGCTTCGTCAGGAAAGACATCCCGTCTAATTAGCATATTACCCTTTTAGTACTATAGGTTTGTTTTTAGCTAAAGCAATTCTAACCCACACAAAAAAAGTATGTATGTATGAATTGAATGTCACAAAACAGTATTTAGGATCCCTCTGTATGGTGATGACTGAGTGGTGATGACTGTTTCTAACACAAAAGAGAAATTTATCAAGTAGGAATGACAATATATCACATTTTCCTGGCCTGCTTGTGAAAGAGATCTGAGACCAATCTAATCACTACCTCCTCAAGATGCCTTTCTACATTCTAAAAAAGCAGGCCAAATTATTAACTACTAGAGGCCCAATGCACGAAAATTTGTGCAAGAGTAGGCCTTCCTTCCCCCCAGCTGCCAGCACCAGCTTCCCTCTGGCACCCAGGACCTGGGCTTCCCTCCAGCTGCCAGCAGGCACCTGGGACCGGGCGGCTTCATCCGGAATGACTTCTGGTCTAATTAGCATATTACCCTTTTATTATTATAGAAGATGTTTTTAGCTAAAGCAATTCTAACCCACAAAAAAGATGTATGTATGTATGAACTGAATGTCACAAAACAGTATTTAGGATCCCTCTGTATAATCAATGTGTAGCCATAATTATGTACATTTCATAAGGCTCTGCAAATGACTTTACTTTGTAAAATAAGTGGGGCAGTAAGCTGATGTTTCTCTTTTTCTTTCCTCCCTTCCTCTCTCTCAAATCAATCAATAAAAATGTTTTAAATTAAATATATTCACTTATTCCTCCAGAGGTAGTATGTTCATTACTGAGTAGTTGTCTTTTACGTGGGGTCAGCAGAATTTCTGAAAAATATGGAAAACATTTAGCATACTTAGTATATCAATTTGAGTAACAGCACATCAATTCCATTAGTATGATATTTCCCTTATTTTCCCTTTCTAATAGGAATCCTTAGGTGGATTAGGAAAAATTTTTAAACCACCAAAAACTAAGTATGCTTACTGGATACATCATAAATCACTGGTTGCTCAGAGACAGATTTTCTTTTCAACATTATTTTACCCTCTAGCTTTAATATATGTTCTAGGTCATAGTTCAGAAGGTATAGTCATAATTACAGTTTTAAAGCTACTGAATTAATTACTTTTGTTATAGATAAGTGATTTCCTTAGTTCACTTTTATATCTGTCTTCAGCTTCCACAATGACTTTGTGACGATCACATTGGTATGGACAAGAGTGCAAGAGCTTGCTAAAATTTCGGCTATTCAGGGATTTTCCTACTGCTATGCAACCTAAAAGAAAACAAATTAAAGTGATGTATAAATGTTATAAAATGTCTAATAACAAATCTATGAAAGCAAATATCTTTATGATAGTAACTGAAGTCAAATCAGGAATTTAATTATAAATATGTCAAAAAGTTCAAAGTCTTGTTAGAGATGGAAACATAATGAACACAATAACAGTGAAATAAGTGTTACGATAGAGGTGTGAACAGAGTTATGGTGATTGTCCTGGTTCTAAGCAGGAGTCACTGTTAGGAAAGATATGTAAAAGAAATAACTCATGTCCAGTCGTATTTTTTAAATGTCTCATTATAGAAAATTTCAAACACACAACAGGAAAGAAAAAAGCATAATGAACCTTTATGTATCCATCATCCAGCTTCAATAATTATTAACTAATGGTCAATCATATTTTATCTACACTCCATGTATTCTGTCTGCCTGCCCCCAATGTACACACTAGATCAGCGGTCGCCAATCTTTTGGACCTCATAGACTATGAGAGGTCCACAGACCACCGATTGGCGACTGCTGCACTAGATCATGAAGCCTGGAATTTGCATTAAAGAATTATTTCATCTACAAATACTTTGTATACATCCCTAACAGATAAGGACTTAAAAAAAAAACCATTATCACACCTAAGAAAAGTATGCTTAATATAATTAAATACCTAGTGTTTAAATTTCTCCATTATTTCAAAACTTCCTTTTTACAGTTGGTTTCTTTGAATCATGATCCAAACAAAGTCTACCATTACATTCAGTTTATTTTAATCTATCAAGTCTCCTCTCTTCTTCCTTATCATTTACTTGTTGTAGATACTGGATCATTTGAACTATGGAGTTTCCCAAAACCTGGGTTTTGCTGATTTTATCCTAGTTGCAGCCTTTAAAATGTTCCTGTGTACCCAACAAATTAGTAATTAGATCTAAAGGATTGATCAGATTCAGATTCAATTGATTTTAGAATTCCTCACAGGTAGTATTGTATACTTCTTACTGCATCATATTAAGAGGCATAAAGTTTATCTGTTTTTAGTGTTAAGGTTGATCAGTAGGTTCAGGTAAGGTTAGCCACATCTATTTATTATAAAGTTCTCCATCTGCCTGTCACTTAATGGTATTAGTGGCCCATTTGGAAGGGACAAGGAGAAATTATCCAGGCGGAAAAGCTGGCTGGGATGAGGACATTTCTAGCACAATGAACATGTGCGAAAGCACAGAAGAATGAAAAAGCATAGTATGTTCAGAAAATCAGAGGTACTTTGGTGTGGCTATAGTATAAAGTATGAGAGAAGTGTGGGAGAAAAGTTGAGGTTGGTGAAGGTTGAAAGGGTAAAGCGAAGAAGTGTCTTAAAAGCCATGCTGAGGATTTTTAAATATCTTAGTCAGTGGGGAGGCACTAAAGGACATTTATTAAGCAGGGAAATGACATGATTTCATCTGTCTTATAGAAATCCCAGTTGAAGGTAAGAGGATCGTTGCGGGGTTACTTCATCATTGCAGAAAATAAATGAGGGGACTCTGAAACAGAGCATTTGCAATAAGAATGTAGAAATTTCTGAGGTAAAATTGGTGACTAATGAGCTGTTGGGGTTAAGGAGAAGTTTAGGATACCTCAAATAATTTGGTGGTTGACTGACTGACAAAGTTTGGCCTAGCATGACACATTTCTGGCAGACTTCAAGAGAATAAATGTGCAGTAAAATTTAAGAAGTGGAAGCAGGACAAAATTTCACAAAATTTTGAAAGCCAAGCAGAGAATTTGATTCAGTGAGTTACAGAGAAGCACTGAGGGTTCTTTAGCATGGTGACATGACAAAAAGCACAGATTAGGAAGAGAAGTTAACAGCAATGTGTACAGTATAGTTGGGGGCTGGTGAGACTTGCAAGTGAAGACTCCTAGAAAGTTGTGGGAGTGATTGAGGCATGAAGCAAAAAGAGCCTACATGGGAAAGAAAAACAGAACCAAATCTGAACAACTAGAAATAAGGGATGCAAGGAGAAAACATGTTAATAGACGATTTAAAGTTTGACATCTGGGAGGCCAGGAGAACAGCAGCAATAGAAATGGAGTGGATGAACAAAGGGCAACTTAAGAGGAAGAAAGATGCTGTGATTTTAATATATTAAGCTTGAAATAAAAGCAAGATATTGACATGAGACTATCCTGGGTACAGCTGGAAATGGAAGAATGAGGTTATAATCCAAGGAAGAAGCCAAGTGCAGAGATACAGATTTGAAAATCATCAGTAAAATGATGGTTGATGCCACAAAAGTAAATGTTGCAACAGAGTAAGTGCTATAAACTATGTCTTAGGGCAGTGATGGCGAACCTTTTGAGCTAGGTGTGTCAGCATTTTGAAAAACCCTAACTTAACTCTGGTGCCGTGTCACATATAGAAATTTTTTGATATTTGCAACCATAGTAAAACAAAGACTTATATTTTTGATACTTATTTTATATATTTAAATGCCATTTAACAAAGAAAAATCAACCAAAAAAATGAGTTCGCATGTGACCTCTGACACGCGTGTCATAGGTTCGCCATCACTGTCTTAGGGGGAATACTTGTAGAAATTTGGCAGAAAGATAACGATAAAGCACTAAAGGTGATTAAATGAAATTGTTTTAGACTATAAACTTCCTGAGGTGAGGAATGAGTTCTATGCATCTTGATTCCGCCTGCCATAGAATATGCACTCCCCACGTGTCTGTGAAATCAATGAATGAATCATCACTGAGAGAAGAAAGGAACTAGGAAAGAACCATCACAAACAAACTAAGGGATGAAAGGAAGTTAACAGTTACAGAGTGTCCACTCTGTCAACTGGAATACTTTTGACCAGAGGTCCCAAACTTTCTTGCTTCATGGCACCCTTAAGGTCTTGGTGATTTTTTTACGGCACCCCTAGGCCAAAAGAAACGCTAACCATCCTGTTAGGTCCAAAACAACTTAATAAGTACTTACGTTCTAACAATTTAGTAGCTACTTGAAAAAACAAGACACCTAAATTGAAAAAAAATATATTTGTATTTCATTCTTATTAATTAGAATTACTTCCTAATGAGATGTGTGTACCTTTTGGGTATAGAATAACTTCTCAAACCCTGGAATCAGACTAGACACTGCCAAATTTATTTCCTGTTCCACATTGATTTTCATGGGTGTTTGATTTTTATCACAACTATCACTGAAAGCTTAGCTCCACAAAAACATGGATCATCAAAGGAATGTAGTGTAATCTAATGTTGAAAATCTGAACTACTTTGAGCTAGTAGTTCATGTAGTATCCAAAAAATATTGACTATTTTGTGCTCCACTTATAAAATTTAAAATATTGTGTAGTGCCCTTGGGAGTTTACTACAGAGCCCTAGGAAGCCTGGGTGAATAGTTTGGGAACTGTGGCATTAAATTATTGATAGAAGAGTATTTCAAGGAATGGTTATCAACGGCGTAGAGATACTAGGAATTTTTTGTAAAAGTCATTGGATTGGGAATGAGGGGGATGTGGCTTCAGGTACCCTTTAACATTAATGTTTAGTAGAAAGGCAATTAAAAAAAGCCAGATTGCAGGGAGTTAAAACAGGAATGAATATACTGAGAGAGAAGGGAGCAAGAGATGAATCTGGTAATAAATGGTGGCAGAAGAGTAGATGAATATTTGAAGCAACAGCAAATCACACTACTGGATTTTTAAGATGAGGAGAAAGTAATATAGTTTAAGGTGGGACAAAAGGAGTTAATGGATAGAAAGGAAATAAAGAGAAAGAATTCACAAATATTAAAATGGGAAGAAAAAAAGAGATGGGATTCAAATTATAGCTAGCAATCAGTTTTAGAGTAATAAAATTAAACTCTCACCCAAGACCGAAGAATAGTAATATTTTGAGCCTAATGTGCAATAGCCTCAATTTCTCCATAGAGTGCACGGTGCCAGAATAAGAGTAAAGAGATGGGGTGTGAAAGAGAAGGACAAGGGATGGAATAAGCTCTATGGAACATTTACAAGTGCCCTGCAGAAATAATTATGTATGGTGCCAGATGGGTACTTGAAATATCAGGGGAATTAATTTGTAAAGTAAATGATTATGTAACCACTAGATTTTACACCTGAAACTAATACAACATAATATTAAATATAAACTAATTGAAAAAATTTTTAAATAGCCCTACAGAAAAAAAATGATGAGGCATGGAACACTAGAAACACTTAAGTATTTATTATAAGCATATATAAAACATGTTTAACTTATTCAGTAAAGTTAAACTTATAGCTGAACTTAAAGTTTACTTTGTCACAGGTAAAACTTATAGAAGTATGACTTCTGACAAAAAGAGAATAATAAAGTAATAAAAATTAGCTACATTGATTCATATAAACAAATACTGGGAGCACAGGATGATACAGATAGAAGGCAATATTTTAAATGTTTAATGATACTACAAATGGTTATTTTTCCAAAGGAAATTAAATCACGCAGGCAGAACCTATTACAACCACCAACTTACACCATACACAAAAATAAACTCAAAATGGATAAAGGACTTAAATGTACGACAGGAAACCATAAAAATTCTAGAAGAATCCAAAGGCAACAAAATCTCAGACATATGCCAAAGCAATTTCTTCACTGATACAGCTCCTAGGGCACTTGAAACTAAAGAGAAAATGAACAAATGGGACTACATCAAAATAAAAAGCTTCTGCACAGCAAAAGAAACCATCAACAAAACAACGAGAAAACCCACTGTGTGGGAAAACATATTTGCCAATGTCATATCTGATAAGGGCCTAATCTCCAAAATTTATAGGGAACTCATACAACTTAACAAAAGGAAGATAAACAATCCAATCAAAAAATGGGCAAAGGACCTAAATAGACACCTTTCAAAAGAGGACATTCAGAAAGCCAAGAGACATATGAAAACATGCTCAAAGTCACTAATCATCCGAGAGATGCAAATCAAAACAACAATGAGGTACCATCTCACACCTGTCAGACTGGCTATCATCAACAAATCAACAAACGACAAGTGCTGGAGAGGATGTGGAGAAAAAGGAACACTTGTGCACTGCTGGTGGGAATGCAGACTGGTGCAGCCACTATGGAAGACAGTATGGAGTTTCCTTAAAAAACTGAAAATGGAACTCCCATTTGACCCTGTGATCCCACTTCTAGGAATATATCCCAAGAAACCAGAAACACCAATCAGACAGGATATATGCACCCCTATGTTCATAGCAGCACAATTCACCATAGCTAAGATCTGGAAACAGCCTAAGTGCCCATCAGTAGATGAATGGATTAGAAAACTGTGGTACATCTACACGATGGAATACTATGCTGCTCTAAAAAGGAAGGAACTCTTACCATTTGCAACGGCATGGATGGAACTGGAGAGCATTATGCTAAGTGAAATAAGCCAGTCAATGAAGGAAAAATACCACATGATCTCACTCATTCATGGATAATAGAGACCATTATAAATTTTTGAACAATAATACAGAGGCAGAGCTGCCTCAAACAGATTGTCAAACTGCAGCAGGAAGGCCGGGGAAGGTTGGGGGGCAGGAGGTAGGGGGGTAAGAGATCAACTAAAGGACTTGTATGCATGCATATAAGCATAACCAGTGGACATAAGACATTGGGGGATAGGGGAGGCTAGGGAACTGTCTAGGGCGGGGGGATAAAATGGACACATATGTAATACCCTTTGTAATACTTTAAGCAATAAAAAAAAAAAAACAGAAAAAAAAGAACCTATTACAAATTCTACTTATTATCAGATAAAACTTTAATTATGAAATAACTAATTAAAAAATATTTACCTGAGCATCTATACTTGAATATTTTGGGACAATTGTCAGCTGATAGGAAATTGATGACTTCTTTATTTATTATATCTGAACATAATGTAAATGGATCTAAAAAAAAATTGCAAAATGCAAGATTTTTTTGAATACTAAAAAGAACCTGACATTTTTATAAGATTTATTAATTATCAAGAGATTTTCACAAACATTAGCCCAGTTTATGGGCTAATTGGAAAGATCCAGTCATCCAATGAATAAACAAAAAAAGTTCTGGATGTCAATAAAAGGCGACTGAGAATTTATACCAGAAAGAGAGTCAGAGGTGTTACGTTAGAGGGCAGATATACTGATGTACATTTTTGGCTACATTAGTCACCTAAATATATGTTTTCTTGAAAAATCAAAGAAGAAAAATTTTTAATCATACCTGTTACTGGTAACTGCTGCTGTCTATTTTTGACAATGGGATTTGGGTATTTAAAAACATGGTCGCTGAAAGAAAATAGATACCAGATTACTAAAAGTAAACATACTGTTTGGGGTGTGTACAAATGGGAAGAAAAAAAGAGATGGGATTCAAATTATAGCTAGCAATCAGTTTTAGAGTAATAAAATTAAACTCTCACCCAAGACCGAAGAATAGTAATATTTTGAGCCTAATGTGCAATAGCCTCAATTTCTCCATAGAGTGCACGGTGCCAGAATAAGAGTAAAGAGATGGGGTGTGAAAGAGAAGGACAAGGGATGGAATAAGCTCTATGGAGTGTGTCCAAAACTGCTTTCCCAACATTTCCTACTTTAGGCAGCTCCCCAGACATTCTTTTATCATTTCTATATCCCAGTGCTTATACAGTGTGGCACATGGTACTGAACAAAAAATATTTGCTGAATTTTCTAAAAGTTAGAAACAATTATTAGACGTACCTTGATTGAGAAACAGAATCTTTTTTTTCAAAAGTTCCTTCCTGTAAGTTTTGATTGCAGCTTGGGTTGGCTTTATATAAAGTCTTACTTTGCCCACTCTCCCTGTAACAAGCATTAACTGGATTTGCACTCTTTAACAGGGTCTTCATTTGGTCATCTTTTGTACATGCTTTAGACATAAATCCATGAGATTTGTAACTTTGAAGCTTTCTAGACTGGCTTGTATCCTTATCTTCTGCTTTGGGACCTCCACCAATACTATTTGTATGGAGGTGTTTCAATGTATTTTGAATATTTATGTTCATAGATGAAACATTATCTTTTTCTCTTTGTGTTTTTTCCTATAATGTAAAAATGACAAGAAAATAATTTCAAAGTAACCCATTTGCTTTATAATCCAATTTATAACCTTTTAATAATGCAGGAAAAATTTATACATAAAAAATATACATGATAAAAGAATAGAATATACATGATAAAAGGAGCAGTTTATATTAGAAATAAAAGGAAGTTTATTCAATAAATTATTTAGAAACAACTGGGTAGCCATCTGAGGAAAAATAAATTGGGTCCATTTCTCACAATTTACACACAAAAAATGAACTAAATATTGATGTATAAAAATGAAATGATGTACGTTCTAAAAGAAAACATGACATTTTAATATTCTCAAGGGGAGGAAGACCTTTCCAACTATTACACAAAATCAATAAATCATAAAAGAAAAAAACTAATATAGTTTACCACATAAATTTTTTTTAAAGTTCTCCTAGAGCAGTGGTTCTCAACCTTGGCTGCACATTAGAATCACCTGAGAATCTTTTTAAAATCCTGATTTCCGGGCCTCATCCTCCAGAAATTCTGTTTCTTTGTTACTAATGTTGTGGCCTCACCCCATAGCAAAGAAACAGAATTTCTGGAGGATGAGGCCCGGAAATCAGGATTTTAAAAAGATTCCCAGGTGATTCTAATGTGCAGCCAAGGTTGAGAACCACTGTGCTAGAGAATAAGAATAATGTAAGGGATGGAGGTTAGGAGGAACTCAGAGGAAAAAAGGGCCAAAAGCAAAACCCAATGATAATCAAAACACCTAGAAAAGAATATGTATATCATATTTTAAACTACAGTATAGTTTTTCTACTAATGTTTACAAAAAGCTACTACAGTGAAATATGAAAAAGATCAACAATAGTGTAGAAAAATAGGCAAAAAAATGAACATTTCACAAGAAAGAAAATATAAATTGCTCTTAAACATATGAAAAAGTGCTCCCACTTAGAATAAGATAAACATGAAAGCTACACTGAGATAGCTTTCTTCATCTATGACATTGGCAGAGATCAAAAGGGTATAGAGAAACACTCATACATTACAGGTGGGAGTATAAGTTGGTACAACCTCTATGGAAACAGTTTGACAGTATCTTTCATAATAAAAATTATGCATAGTTATAAACACTTTTACATGTACAAAATGTTGATGTTATTAACTGCAGCATTGTTTGTAATAGCTAAAAGTTGAAGTTAGCATATTCCTCAATGGAATGCTCTGAAATTGTAAAAAAAAAAAAAAAAAAAAAGAATAAAGAGGCCTTCCAGGAAAAGATGATGAAGTTAACACTCATATGTATTTCTGGTCCTTCCTTTTTTTTTTTAAGATATATTTTTATTGCCCTAGCCATTTTGTCTCAGTGGATAGAGCGTCGGCAGACCAAAGGGTCCCAGGGTTTGATTCCAGAGATTGTCAACCTCGGTTGCAGGCTCCTCCCTGGCCCGAGCCCTGATTAGGGCTCGTGTAAGAGGCAACCTATCAATGTGTTTCTCTCACATCGATATCTCTCTCTGTCTTTCCTTCTCTCTACCGCTCTCTAAAAATCAATGGAAAAATATCCTCAGGTGAGGATTTAAAATAAATACATACATTTTTATTGATTTCAGAGAGGAAGGGAGAGGGAGAGAGAAAAACATCAATGATGAGAGAGAATCATTGATTCGCTGCCTCCTGCACACCCCCTACTGGGGACTGAGCCCACAACCTGGGCACATCGAACCTGGGACTCTTCAGTCCACAGGCCAACACTCTATCCACTGAACCAAACCAGCTAGGGTTATTTTTGGTCCTTCTAAAACACCAATTAGAATAGCAGTTTTTTAAAAAAAGGCAAAACCCCACAAGGACAGGAGAAATGAAACAAGAAATAAAAGCAACAACATTTTGGAAACTGAATAGCAAATAGGTGAATGATAACCTATTTAGCAGACTTGATAAACCTGAATGCAAAGCTTACAATGGGAAAAGTCAAGAAACTACCTAACATATGCTACCAAGCTCTCAACATACACTTAGCAGGTAGTTGATTAACACCAGAAGGTCCTCTCCCTTCCCACGGCTGGAAATATAATCACTGGAGGAGACAAAACAGTCTCCACACTGGAAGACTCCAAGCAAAGCTGAAGGCAGAATACTATTCAAGAAACAGAATAAGCAACTATTTACGTACTGAATTCTAAGACCCAAGCTGTCGTCCCCCATTTTGATTCCAGAGCACTGGTTGGTTGACGATCTCTAGGCAGATTAGACATTGGAGTTTCTCCAAATGACCCACTTAATCCTATGAGAATCCACAGTCAACAAATTTTCCAAGGAGACTTTTAGCATATGACCCTTAGACATGAGTAGCAACTAGCCCTGGCCAGTGTGGCTCAGTTGGGTGGGCGACATCCTGTGTACCGGGACTTTTTTAAAGAATAGCTTGGCAAGAAAAATCTTTTACTTTCTAACCTATATTCTTCAAAAATACTTTTAAAAAGTTCTATATTCTTTGAAACAAAGAAGCCAACCTCATTTTCTTCTCTTTCAAGCTGTTCTATTCTGTGAAGAATGTCCTTTGCTTTCTTCCAGTACTCTCCAATATTCTTCTCTTTCATATTTATGTCTTCTAATTGTTCTGCTTCATTTTCATCAAAAGGACATTCTCTTAGGCTTAGAGATAATTTCTCAGCTTTGCAACATGGGGGAAAAACAGTGAGTTCATCCATTACCAGAAATGTTATTTTAACACTTTAAATATGGACAACTTCATACCCCACACCTCCCCTAAATTCTGCCCTTCTAAATTATCTCGATTGAAAATAAGTGGAAAGCAAGTAGTTGGCAGAGGTCCAGGACCCTAAGAGTCATAAAACAGACTTTATTCTTCAGAGTTATAGGAAAGAGAATAGCATGAAAATATGTTATCCCAGGCACATAAACACCCTCAGGTATGGATACCGGTTTTAAAATAGTTTTTTATAAAAATAGTTTTCATAAAGTAGTTCCTCCCTATAATCCTTTCTCTTTACATATGATGCAACAACAATTTTTCTTACACAAAGACAAAAATCGTTTTCATGGCCATGGCCCTGGCTATCAATTCCTTCAATGTACCAGGCTCCTTCCTCTCACAAGGTCTTATGCTTCACTGTTGCTAAGCCCTGAGATCCTCCCCCATAGAAAATTCCCTTCTTTTCATCTAATGAACTCTATACATTCAGATCTCAGTTCAAGAATCATTTCCTCCTGAAGCCTTTTCTACCTTACTGTCTAAGTCTTAGTCCTTTGTTACAGACTCTAAAATCTGTGCTCTATCCATTCTAAACTCTTAGGTTAATTTATATAATACATTCACTTTTGAGACTATTCAATTATTATCTATTTCTCTAATTAAACTAAGTTCTGTGAGTGCACAGACTGTTTCTTATCACTATATTCCTAATGCCTAGCACAGTGCCTGGCTAATAATGGGCACTCAAACATTTTTCAAATAAATAAGTAAATATATTTTGTATTATGATTTAATCATGTTACCTATAGCCCTCAAACTGTATTTGTCCACACTACATAAAATATGTGAATTATCTGTACTGTTGCTCTCTTCCATATAGGTTTTTTGTATGCTGAAACACTCCAGGTGTCATGTCCAAATTAAATATTCTGCTCTTCAGATGTAAGAAGAGCCTGGGAGCTAAAGGGGCTTGGCTCATCAAAGCAGATATAAATTTCCCTTTATAAACTTTGTTTTTTTGTGTGTGTTTTTTTTAAGTAACGATAAACTTACTAATTTTTTTGCAGTTGCAAAGCACAAAAGTGGCAGCTTTGTTTAGTTCCTCATTCTGAGATTCAGTTAAGGCTTGTATCATGAGTGGAAGCCCATTGTTTTTAAAAAGGTCATACTGATTTTCCTCTGGAAAAGATATAAAAAAGTAAAGTAGAAGAAGTTATTTTACCATAAACTATCTACATGAGATCATAATTCTTCCTGTGGTAATTTTGAACATAGTCCAAATTAGAGAAAAACCAAGTTTCAAAAGTGTATTCAATTTAGGAAATAACTGACTCACATAAAATCATGTGAGTATCATAAGTGATGCTCTCTGAAATACTGCCACAGAGTAGCATCATATCTCATGAGTGTAAACAAATGCCTTCACTTGGTTCTTAAAAAGGTATAGTTCCCAACCGCCTGGTGTGTCTCAGTGGTTGAGCGTTTACCCAGGAACCAAGAGATCATGGTTCCATTACCAGTCAGGGCACATGCCTGAGTTGTGGGCTCAATCCCCAGAAGGGGATGTGCAGGAGGCAGCCAATTGATAATGTTTCTCTCTCTCTCCTTTCCTCTCTTTCTAAAAATCAATAAAAACATTTTTAAAAAGTATAGTTCTCAACTAAACCTCAATTAAAAAAATAAAAATTTAAAAAGTATACTAAATCCTAAATTATATAGAAGAAAAAGAATAGAGCCCTAGCTGGTTTTTCTCAGTGGATAGAGCGTTGGCCTGAGAACTGAAAGGTCCCAGGTTCGATTCCAGTCAAGGGCACATGCCTGGGTTGCAGGCTCTATCCCTAGTAGGGAACGTGCAGGAGGCAGCCAGATGTTTCCATCTCTTTCTCCCTCTCCCTTCCTCTCTAAAATCAATAAAAATATATTTAAAAAAAAGAAAGTAAAATAATAGAATGAATTGAAAATGAGGAAAGGAAGAGAGTAGAATAAACAAGAGAGCAAACAGAGTGGAAAAGTGGAAGGGGAAAGAGCAGAAATTGGGAGAGGGAAAGAGGAAAGTGAAGAGAATTGGAAAGAAGGAGAATGGGAGAGGGAGAATGGCAGGAGAGTGAAGAGGAGGAGGAAAATGGAAGCAAGGAGAAAAAAGAGAGGTGAGAATGACAGGTAAAGAAAGAAATGATAGAACTTTTGAAGGTTTTCAGCAAAGAAGAATACGATTAGATCTGTGCAGCAGTGCGAAGCGGTACTGAAAAACGGAGATGGAAGGGAAAAAGGGAACAGTTGCAATAACATTGCAATAACATTGGTGAAAGATGTGAAGGGGTTGGGGGTCTTGGGAGAGTAGCACCGGAACTGGGCAGCAAGGGATATACAGAAGGGTCAACAGACGCAGAACCACAGGTCTTAGGGGCCAACTAAATACAATGGATTAAAAAGGATGAAGAGCCTTGGCCGGTTTGGCTCAGTGGATAGAGCGTCAGCCTGCGGACTCAAGGGTCCCGGGTTCGATTCCAGTCAAGGGCATGTACCTTGGTTGCGGGCACATCCCCGGTGGGAGGTGTGTGGGAGGCAGCTGATTGATGTTTCTCTCTCATTGATGTTTCTAGTTCTCTATCCCTCTCCCTTCCTCTCTGTAAAAAAAATCAATAAAATATATATTTTTTTAAAAAAAGAAAAAAAAAGGATGAAGAGCAAAATGACTGGTTTGGGACCTGAATCAATGGGAGAAAGGCACTACTTTTAAGCCTTTCACATGACTAGGAGGAAAAAACCCCGAAAGTGTATTTCCACCCCCTGTTTTAATAAGCACACTAAGTAAATCCAGTATTACCGCAAGTCTCTGTGCAATGACCAAGAGTAAGAATGATGCTAAATTTTTCTGCTGAATCCAGACTTTCATGAAGCAGTAATGCCAGAAGTTTTGAAACAATGTGGTACTTGGATAATACTTCACCAAAAGTAGCTATTAGTATAAAATAGAAAAGAAAAAGAGTAAATACAAACTTATAACTATACATATACTATTTCTCATACATACTGTTTTTCAGATCTTATCCTAGGAGAATGATCTTATATATCTATATAACATCTAATATATATGTGTGCATATATATGTAAATATAAATAAATGAGTAATAAGAGAGTGGCTTATATAGCCTTCATTAATCCCTCTTCTCATATTAAAGATATTTTACTAAAGCAAGTTTTTTAAAGAATGATTTCTTCTTATTTACCCTGCATAATGTTGGTAATATGCAGCATTCCTAAAAGTTGAATATGCTTATTCTCATCTTACACACCTCTTATAATCTAGATTGGACAGTAAAGACCTTCCTATGTAACTAATTCCTGCTTGTCAATGAAATCCACTACTAACTGGCCATGATTCTATTGATGTTGATGATGCAGTGAAGCTACCTGAAGCTGAGATGTGACAGAATTCAAGAAGTCTGCCATTTTAAACTATACTTCTGCTCATAAGGTTGTGAATTTCTTGAGGGACTATATTTTCATCATTTTTATATCTCTAGAGCTCACATAGAGCCCTATGAATAGCAGGCCCTCAATAACTGATTTTTAAAAAATCTACTTACTTCACAGTTATTTGTGAATGTCAAGAGTTGCTTATTACAAATTTATAGATTATCATTCCTCAGTGTTTATGAGAAGCAGGCATGGGTTCAACTCTGGTTCTGTCACTCACTAGAAATGGCTGGGTAAGTCAGACCTCACATTTACCAGAAAGAGGCATACCCTAATTCTTTATAAAATTTTTAAAAATCTATAGATAAGGGTTTTCCATTCCTTATGCCTCCAAAATGTCCCTTGATTTCTCATCTAATCTTTTTAATTTAATGCCACTTTAAGTGAAACAAGGCTTAGAAATGGTAGAATCTATTATTAGACTTGAAGTCAGACGATTTGAACCTTCTGGTGGTGGGAGGTTATAACCTCCATGAGAAAACAGATAACCCATATTCAAGCTACCATTTCAACCCTCATGTGTTGAACTCAAGCAAAATGCAATTGTAGAAAAATGACTAAGCATTTTTACTCACTATTATCAGCAATACATGCATCCACTGTCTTTGTCACCACCACTGCAAGCTTAGCACTTGAAAGAGTCTGATGTGAATCAGATTCCAGTTGCACAAGAACTTGACACAATACATCCAGTCCACCCACAGATATAAAGTATTTCTGAACATGTGCTTAAGGAATAAAGTAGAATGATTAACACCCAAAACAAAACAATTGTATGGTTTCATTCATAATCTGCACTAAATGTAACATTGACTTGACTTTTTCAAATAGAGCAGCGGTTCTCAACCTGTGGGTCGCAACGAACTTTGGTGGTCCAACGACCCACAGGGGTTGCCTAAGACCATCCTGCATATCAGATATTTACATGACGATTCATAACAGTAGCAACATGACAGTTATGAAGTAGCAACGAAAATAATTTTATGGTTGGTTCACAACATGAGGAACTGTATTTAAAGGGCCAGAAGGCTGAGAACCACTGAAATAGAGTCACATCCCTCAGTATCCTAGTATCCTTAGGGGATTGGTTCCAGGACCCGCCCCCCTTCCACCCTACCCTCAGATACCAAAATCCTAGAATGCTGAAGTCTCTTATTTAAAATGTATTTGCATATAACCCATACACATCCTCCCGTATAGATTACTTATGATGTCTAACACAATGTAGATGCTATGTAAATAGTTTTTATACTGTATTGATTGGAGAATAATGACAAGGAAAGTCTGTACATATTCAGTACAGACGTAGCCATCATATGCCTAACTACATATCAGCAACAATAGAACTTTATTTTTTGAACTAGAGGCCCAGTGCACGGATTCGTGCACTGGTGGAGGGCATGGCCTGCGGGGATTGGCCCACAGTGGGAGCTCTGTTCATCCCAGTCAGCTGAGTGGCTCTCCCACTGTGGGAGCACACTGACCACCAGGGGGCAGCTCCTGTGTTGAGCATCTGCCCCCTGGTGGTCAGTGCGCTTCAGAGTGACTGGTCGAAAGTCATTCTGGTTGTTCCACCGTTCGGTCCCTGGGCTTTTATATAGATACTAGAGATATGGTGCATGGATTCATGCACCAATAGGGTCCCTTGGCCTGGCCTGTGCCCTTTTGCAATTCGGGACCCCACTGGTGCACAATCAGGGCAGGGGAGGGACCAGGGGAGGGCTCCAGGGCATGTCCGGCCTGGTCTCGCCCAGTCCTGATCTGCCAGACCCCAGCAGCAAACTAACCTACTGGTCGGAGCATCTGCCCCTGGTGGTCAGTGCACATCATAGCTACCAGTTGAATGGTCAAATGGTCGGACAGTCGCTTAGGCTTTTATATATATATATATACTAGAGGCCCGGTGCACAAAAATTTGTGCACTCGGGTGGGGGGGGGGTCCCTCAGCCCGGCCTGTGCCCTCTCGCAGCCTGGGACCCCTCGGGAGATAACGACCTGCTGGCTTAGGCTTGCTCCCGGGTGGCAGAGGGCAGGCCCAATCCCTAGGTGCAGCCCCTGGTCGGGCTCAGAGCAGGGCCGATTGGGGAGTTGGGGCGCCGCCCCGTCATGCACAGAGCAGGGTGGATTGGGAGGTTGCGATGCCACCCTCAGTCACGCTCAGGGTAGGGCCGATTAGGGGGTTGGGGCACCGCCCCCTGTCACACTCAAGGCAGGGTCGATGGGGAGGTTGCGGCGCCACCCCCTGTCACGCACAGAGCAGGGCCAATCAGGGTGTTGGGACACTGCCCCCTGTCACGCACAGAGCAGGGCCCATCAGGGGGTTGGGGCTCCGTACCCTGTCACGCACAGAGCAAGGCCCATCAGGGGGTTGGGGAGCTCCCCCGTCATGCACAGAGCAGGGCCGATCAGGGGGTTGAGGAGCTCCCCCCGTCACTCACAGAGTAGGGCCGATAGGGGAGTTGGGGCACCGCCCCGTCACACACAGAGCAGGGTGGATCAGGGGGTTGGGGCGCCGCCCTCTATCACCCACAGAGCAGGGCCGATCAGGGGGTTGGAGCGCCACCACTGTCACACTCAGGGCAGGGCCGATGGGGAGGTTATGGCTCTACCCCATCACACACAGAGCAGGGCCCGTGGGGGGGGGGGGGTTGGGGCGCCGCACCCTGTCACACACAGAGCCGCAGGGCGATCAGGGGGTTGGGGAGCTCTCCCTATCAGGAACAGAGCAGGGCTGATCGGGGGTTGGGGCGCCTTCCCCTGTCACAAACAGAGCAGGGTGGATAGGGAGGCTGTGGCCCCAGCCCCTGTCACACACAGAGCCGCAGGGCGATCAGGGGGTTTGGGCACTGCCCCCTGTCACACTGATCCCGGTGCTGGGAGGCATATTAACCTTTTACTATATAGGATAGAGGCCTGGTGCACGGGTGGGGGCCTGCTGGTTTGCCCTAAAGGGTGTCCTGAATCAGGGTGGGAGTCCCCACTGGGGTGCCTGGCCAGCCTGGGTGAGGGGATGATGGCTGTTTGCAGCTGGTCACAGACCCTTCAGGGTGGGGGTCCCAACTAGGGTGCCTGGCCAGTCTGGGTGAGGGGCTGAGGGCTGCTTTCAGGCTGGTGGGTGACTGAAGCTCCCAACCGCTCCTTTTTTTCTTTTTCTTTTATTCTGGGCCAGCTTTAGCTTTGAGGCTTGGCTCCAGCTCTTAGGCCTCCGCTGCTGAAAGCAGGTTTCTGGCTTTTGTTTACCTTCTGTATTTGAAACAATGTTGCGATCCTGCTGGCTGAACTCTGACGGACTAAAGCAGGTTTCTGGGGTTTTGTTTAGCTTCTATATTTGTAACATAGTTGCTTAGAGTTGCAGCTCAGAGGCCTGCAGCGGCAGGCGGGGAATGTTGGAGTCCTCCGTCACTGAAGCAAGCAAGCCTCATGTTCGCTTTAAGCTGCCTGGCTGCTGGCCGCCACCTTGGCTGGCAGTTAATTTGCATATTGCCCTGATTAGCCAATGGGAAGGGTAGCGGTCGTACGCTAATTACCATGTTTCTCTTTTATTAGATAGGATAGACTAGAGGCCCAGTGCATGAATTCATGCACAGGTGGGGTCCAGCTGGCCTGGCCCCAAATGGGGCAGATGGGGGCCAGGCCTATTGGGGGGAGGAGATGGCAGGTTAGCCAGCCGGCCCACCCCATCGGGGCCTGATCAGGGCTGGGATGGCTGGGGAGAGCGGCCATGAGCTGATCGGGGTGGTGGGGGCTGATCGGGGGTGGGTCCAGCTGTGGGGAGGGGCTATGGGTGGTGGGCTGTTCAGCCCCACCCCCAAATGGGGTGGTGGGGGTTGATCAGAGGCCAGCAGCCTGGGGGAGGGGCCATAGGTGGTTGGCCGGCCAGCCCTGCCTCTGATCAGAGTGGGGGGGGCTGATCTGGGGCAGAGCTGACTGGAGCTGTGGGCCAATCGGAGTGGTGGGGGCCCTTTGGGGGTGGAGCTGGCAGGAGGGAGAGGCTGCAGGAGATTGGCCAGGGTATGGGGGAGCGATCAAGGGTGGGGCTGGCCAGGGGGAGGGGGCTGCAGGAGGTTGGCCAGCCAGCCCCACCCCCTGATCAGGGCCAGTTCACTGGCCGCAGTGGGCATCATAGTGACCGGTCATTCCGGTTGTTATGGCATTCAGGTTGCTGGCTTTTTATATATATAGATTTTCTATTGGCAGTTGCTTAAATTTGTAGATGCAAAACCCACACATACAGGGCCAAGTGTACTTACTAAAAATTCAAAATTAAAGAATGAAAAGTCCAATCTTTACCTGCACATATACATAGTCATAACATAAATTACTTCCTTATGTAAGAAACTCACTTTGACATAGTACAGGTGGATGTACAGTATAGTTTTTTTTGCTTGTGTTAGATATCTCTTTTGCTTCTTTTATTGAGAACTGGTATATTTTGCAAAAATGACATTAAACTAAAACTCTGCAAAAGAGCTATAAAGAATAGATTCATTGATCTAGCTTGGTACTCCAATTAGCAAGCTGCTTATTTTCTGAATTCCAACATAATTCATTCCTCAGATTGCTTTAATCTACAAACAGCAAAGTAATTTACCTGTTCCAAAAGAACACGTTTCATCCATCTTACTTAAGCCTAATTCTTTTATTTCTTGGAGCATAAAATTATAACATGTTGAGTCATGAAAACTGTTCCAAGAAAAGAATCAGTGACAGATATCATTTTTAAGAGTCTGAATTCTTTTGTTCCCTTGTGAAAATGATTCTGATAAAAAAGTATCCATGAGTCTGTGCATTCAATAGTCTCTGAAACCCTTATTCCAGCAACAAGCTTACATAAATGAATATATGGGCTAGTTATTACAATTCTGTCATAAACCTTCTTCCCAGCCTACCCTACTATCACAAATTGAGCCAAGAAGTTTTAAACAAAAAAATTACTTTTGATATTGTTCCATAAAAAACAAAGATCTTAATCTAAAAATATCGTGTTGCCCTTGGAGGTGTGGCTTAGTGATTAGGGCATCAACACAAGCACTGAAGGGTCAAGGGTTTGATTCCCAGTCAAGGGTGTGTACCTGGGTTGCAGGTTCCATCCCTGGCCCAGTAGGGACACATCTGAGAGGCAACCAATTGATGCGTCTCTCTTACATCAATGTTTCTTTTTCTTTCTCTCTCTCTCTCCCCCATCCCTCCTTCCCTCCCTCCCTCCCCTCCACTCTCTCTAAATATCAATGGAGAAAATATCCTGGAGGATTAAAAAAAAAAATGCAATAAGTACACACACACACACACACACACACACACACAAGGTTTTTGGTTGATCACTTCCCACCCACACACCCTCCCTCATCTTCGTCCTGAAGTTCTACAGTCTGTGCTATGCTTCTATGTCTCTAGATCTATTTTGTTCATCAGTTTATTTTGTTCATTAGAGTCCACATATGAGTGAGATCATGTGATACTTCCCAATATCTTCCTAACAGATCCACTTTTAAGATTTTCCTATCTGTGATAGTCTAAGTCAGCGGTTCTCAACCTGTGGGTCCCGACCCCTTTGGCGGTCGAACGGCCCTTTCACAGGGGTCGCCTAAGACCATCTTGCATATCAGATATTTAAATTACGATTCATAACAGTAGCAACATTACAGTTATGAAGTAGCAACGAAAATAATTTTAATGTATTTTATTGATTTTTTTACAGAGAGAAAGGGGGGACAGAGAGTTAGAATCATTGATGAGAGAAACATCAATCAGCTGCCTCCCGCACACTCCCCACTGGGGATGTGCCCGCAACCAAGGTACATGCCCTTGACCGGAATCAAACCTGGGACCTTTCAGTCCACAGGCCGACGCTTTATCCACTGAGCCAAACCAGTTAGGGCAATAATTTTATGGTTGGGTCACAACATGAGGAAGTGTATTTAAAGGGCCAGAAGGTTGAGAACCACTGGTAAGTGCATCCAAAATGACCCAATTTACTGGAATAAAATTAATCCATTAATTCAATTAATACAATAACTAATTCAATAGTTTTTTTTTATTATACTTTGAAATAGCTTCTTCAAATATAACTTATAGAATAATGTATACTTACTGTTATTTGCAAGAGTGAGTCCAATAAATGAACAAAGAGGGCGAATTATCTCAGGCATCATACAATTTTTTAGCCAGTCATTAGCATGTGGAAAAAGTGAACAGCAAAGCCTTTGATTTTCATCTGAAAGAAGACAAAGTTAATCATATTTTAATATATTTGGAAAATATAAATTTTCATTTGTTCTTATCTTTATTTTTATATTCATATATTTGAGATAAATACCATTTTGAGGATTGTTGACACAGACACACAGAGTACCACACACTGATGACCACAACTGATAATTCTGGAAAACATTTTTATCTGACAAATTCAACTCATATTTTGAAAGGGCTGCCCTATTAGATTAAAAAGAAAAGGAAGTAAATTAATAAAAATGTGTTAAGGTCTTAAGTAATAACTAATTAGTAAAAAGAAATTTATATTTGCTTACCTGAACAACTCTGACAGAATTTTAAAACAACCTGTTTCTCTCACAAGCGTTTGTCCAGTCCCTTAAAGGAATAGCCACATATTACAGGAATATGACTTTGTTTAGAAGTAACTTGGCAGAAATGGAAAACATTTAAGTAGTATTTTGATAAATAACTTTTAATTACTTTAATAACTTTTAATTACGGTAGATAAAACCTAATCAAGATTATGGGAAATATATTACTTATGCTTATAGCAGTGGTTCCCAACCATTTTTTGGCCATGCCCCACCTAAGCATCTCTAAAATCCTGATGCCCCCCATCCCCCCCCGTAACATATAATTCTTATTATTCAAAAAGTGAACTTTGCACGTGGAGGAAGCCTAAAAGGCCATTAACTTAGTCTAAACAAGCTTCCAAAGAACATGGCATCCATGAAAGAGAAAAATAAAAGAATGAAAGGACAACTGAAGTACTGAGGAAGAAATCACTAAAAAATAATAATGTGAAGTGATATGAAAAAATAGCAAATAAAGTTTCAAAACATATAGCAGAGACCTGAAATGCATAAATATGTCACAATATATGTTTATATACTGTATATGAGGCCCCTAGAACCATAGGAAATGCAAAAAAATTCACTGTTAATAACTAATTCTTGAATGGCCCCCCTTAAAAATTAAATTACCCCCCTGTGCAGCATGTGCCCCATGTTGGGAACCACTGCTTAGAGAATAACAGCACTCGAATTTCTTCTAAAAATTACAAAACATGTATTTTGCATGGTTATGTGCTACAAAATAAGATGCTCCAAAATATTAAAAAATTCAAAGTACAAAAAATAAAATCTAGAAGCATTTTAAATGATTATAAAATTTCTAACAATTTGAAGATGTAAATAAAGCAATGTTAAAAAATAACCTTGGGCCGAAACCGGTTTGGCTCAGTGGATAGAGCGTCAGCCTGCGGACTGAGGGGTCCCGGGTTCGATTCCGGTCGAGGGCATGTACCTGGGTTGCGGTCATGTCCCCGGTGGGAGATGTGCAGGAGGCAGCTGATCGATGTTTCTCTCTCATCGATGTTTCTAGCTCTCTATCTCTCTCCCTTCCTCTCTGTAAAAAATCAATAAAATATATTTAAAAAAAAAAATAATAATAACCTTGGCCTGAGCAGTAGGTATACAGGATCATGCTATACTATCTTTTCAACTTTTCTGCAAATCTAAAATTATTCCAAAATAAAAACTGAAAAACAAAACAAAAACTTTAGCCAAGAGCTACATGAAATTAAGGTCATTGCTGACTGAAAACAAACACTAACTAAATGGCCACTTTAGTGATATACCAACCAAACTAATTCATTAAATGCCTCTCTTTTGCTTTCAAAGCTGTTTTTTTATGTTAATTAATATACAAATCACTTTACTATTTGTTAAAATTAATAAATATTGAACAATTAAATGCATGCTATTAATTCTCTTTTCTTAAAGCTAGTAGTTCTCATAAGTTACTAAGAACAAAAGACATTGATGTAAGGACTAGAATAAAAGGATTAATAATAATTATCCCAACTTATTGTTTTTAAAAACTGTTTCTACAACACAAAAGAATGTACTTACTATTATTTGAAACTAGAACCAAAATAACATAGACAGACATTCTTTTCAAATTTGTGTTTGAATCATTATTAGATAAGAACCAAATTAAGTCTTCAAACAATTCTGAAGTGCACAAAGTCTGCTGACAATAAACTGAAATATAAAAATACAATTTTAATTTCTCTGCATAGTACAAATCAAATATCATTTCATTGACATTTATTGATCATATAACAAAATCTCTGACAAACTGATATCTGCTTATTAAATTAGAAGACCAAAGCAGCAATAACTTAATCAAAAGCACTTAATCTAGGCTCTAAAAAATATGCCACAACCCCCTAGAATTTCCAATAAAAACCTAACTGAATAAAAACTTAAAATATGACACACACAGCCCCATACACTTTGGTTCAGTGGATAGAGCCTGCAGACTGAAGGGTCCCGTGTTCGGTTCTAGTCAAGAGCACATACCTTGGTTGCAGGCTTGATCCCTAGTAGGCAACCAATTGATGTGTCTCTCTCACATCGATGTTTCTCTCTCTGTCTCTCTCCCTCTCATCCACTCTCTCTAAAAATCAATGGGAAAAATATCCTTGGGTGAGAATTAACAACAAAAAATATGAGACACACAAAATTTAAGAGGATGAGTAAGTAACAAAAACATAGCAAGGGAAAAATTTAAGAAAATTCAGAAACCTGCTTTAGAAAGCAGAGGAAGAAACGATACTTGTGCTATTTTTTAAGATGTTTTTAGAAATAAAAATATCTTTCCAAAAAATGATACCTACATGACAGTAGGAATTTTGTGATAATCATATAATAAACAGATTAAAAAAATAATTTTAATACATGGATGGATATATAATCAATATTTTATCCAGTGTCTAAAACCAGCTATTAGACTCTTTCTAAAGGCAAGGACAATGTCTTATCTATCCCCAATGCCTAGCACACAGCTTAATTCTTAGCAAGTAATGAATATTTAATGGATAAAAATATCTCTCTATATAAAAGGCTAATATGCAAAGTGTCCTCTAGAGAGTTTGACTGGGAGACCAGTAGTTCAATCGCTCGCTATGATGTGCGCTGACCACCAGGGGGTGGCGCGGAACAAAACAAGGCCCCGTCTGGCAGTCAGAAGGCCCTGACTGGCCCTGATCCTGGCCAGGCCTAGGGACCTACTCATGCACAAATTTCATGCACTGGGCCTTCAGTACAAATATAGAGTTGTTTAACAAATCAGTGGCTTATATTCAAACTCGTTTCAGAAAAATTGTATGAATTTGTATACCTAGAGCATATTTATCCATATACAAGGTGGTTGTAGGTTATCTTCATCTTTTGATTCAATGAACAAAATAAAAAAATCAGTTATAGACCCACTGCATATAAAAATTCATTAAGTGATTGATGATGGTACTATCTCAAATCAATATGAAAAAAATCTACTTTTTAATAAGAAGTATTAGGATAGCTGGGTTGCCATTTAAAAAAAAGGTAAAACTGGAGCTAATCATCACACCATAACTCAGAAAATATTTAAAAGAACAAAAATGGTAGAAGTGAAATAACCATACAAGTACCAACAGAAAATGTGGGTAGATTCCCTATAAGCTGGGACTATGGAAAACTTTTCTATGGCTCAAAATACAAAACAAAATGGGAAAGAAGGATGAATTTTATTTTCATAAAAATAAATAAATAAATAAATAAATAAATAAATAAATAAAACTTATACATGGTAGTAAAAAATAAAGTGAAAATAAATGTTTCCAACTAATGCCAAGGAGAATTCTGAAAGATTTTGAATGGACAAAATTATTACAGAATGTCCTATCTAGTGCACCCTTCTATATGATCTGTGTCTTTCACTGTCTTTGAGCTATTTCCCAATTCTGTAAATTATTTTTTTAAATGTGATAGTAATGCAAATTACTCTTGTCAACAGAAATGCAAAACATTTGGACATTAGAATGCAATTAATTATTGCCCTGCAGATATTGACCAATTAATTACCTATTTATAAGTCTATTTCAGCATTCTTAAATGCCTATATTGGTTTTTGCCATTGCCTTTAACACACTTGTGACATTTTACTGATTCCTTCATTAGTTAATAAGTTAAATATAATCTTTGGCATACATTAATTAATATTTTAAAATATATTTTTATTGATTTCAGAGAGGAAGGGAGAGGGAGAGAGAGAAAGAAACATCAATGATGAAAGAGAATCATTGGCTGCCTCCTGCACGCCCCCCACTGGGGATCAAGCCTGCAACCCAGGTATGTGCCCTTGACCAGAATCAAACCCAGGACCCTTGAGTTCACAGGCCAACCACTGAGGCTCTATCCACTGAGCCAAACTGGCTAGGGCTGGCATACATTAATTTAAATAAATAAATAAAATACCTGGATAAAACTATCCAGACACATACAAAGGACATTTAATTCTACAATTATTTTTAGTATTTTATTAACGTATAACACAATGCTTGAAGGATAATGAAAAAAGTTCTTATATTTTACCATTTTTTTCTGCAACAGTTCCTAATGTATACAAGGCTGCTTCTTTTACCATGCTATGTTCACTTGACTTTGCAAGATTTTTTACAAACATCAAACCACCAATTTCCCGAAAATATACACCTGCATCACCTGTAGGATGTGCAGACAAAACAAAATAGAAATCTTATTTATTATGATTATTCTTTTAAGAATAAAATAAATCATATGAACATCGTAACAAAACATGTAGAGCAACTGAGTGGAAGAAAAAGAGCTATGCATATTTCATATGTCACAATACTAAAGAACTAGAATCATAGATAAAATTCACTATCATGTCTTACTGTTTTGTTGACAGATTGAATGAATAGTGACCAAAGCTTCCTTTTGTGATAAAGGGTTGTCCATTTGATACTTCAGACACTCCAATAATAAGTTCAGGTCAGTCTTCATTTCTAAAAAACAAAAATTTCATTATTTTAAACCAAATCTTTCTTTTTAAAAAGTAACCATTTAAATTTCACTTTCTAAATATATATCATTATAATGTTTGCTTTTTAAAAATAAGTATGTGTTACTTTTATAGTCTAACAAATAATAAAGACATATAAAACAATTCTGTTCCTTAAATAAAAGTACTTAAAATTATTTGCTCTTCCCCTTTCATGAAATATAGGAATAGAAAATCCAAATATTATTCTCTTTAAAGCTACACTGGTTTAAATATCTGCCATTTAGACATAAACTAAATAAAAATGAAAATATGACATTAGCATTTGTGGGATGCTACTGAAGCCTGTCTTACAAAAAAAGGTCTCAAAGTAATGATCTTGCTTCTACCTTAAGAAACTAGAAGAGTAAATTAAACCCTAAGCAAATAGAAGGAAAGAAATTATAAAGATTAAAGCTGAAATTAATGAGATAGAAAAGAGAAAAACAATAGAGCTGATTCTTTGATTAGTTTAATAAAACTGAAAAACCTCTACACAAACTGATCAGGAATGAAGGAGAAAAGACACAAATTACCAATATCAGAATGGGAGAGATGGCATCACCATGGATTCTACAGATAATAATGGTTATGTACAACTTCATACCTATATGACTTAGGTGAAATGGACAAATTGCTTGAAAAACACAAATTACTAAAACTCATCCAAGAAGAAACAGATAACCTAAATAATCATATCTCTGAAGGAAATTAAAACCAATGTTAAAAACCTTTCTGTAAAAACAACCACCACCCTCCAGCCCTAGCTGGTTTGGTTCAGTGGATACAGCATCAGCCTGTTGACTGTAGGGTTCCAGGTTCGATTCTGGTCAAGGGCACATGCCCAGGTTGCAGGCTTGATCCCCAGTGTTGGGTGTTCAGGAGGCAGCCGATCAATGATTCTCTCTCATCATTGATGTTTCTATCTTTCTCTCCCTCTCCCATTCTCTCTGAGATCAATAAAAAAATATTTAAAAAAAAAAAAAAACACCCTCCAGGTTCAATTCAGATGACTTCATTTGTAAATTCTTCCAAATATTTAAGGAAGAAATAATATTGATTCTACACAAACTATGGACATTTGACACTGGTGCTTTCAAACAATCTTTCTCACAAAGCATTCTTCCAATGTCATCTGGCTATCATCTAAAAGACCTAACATTTCTCAATACCTAAACTATATCAAAGCTATGCTAGCTTATAGGAACTAAAGAGGATTCCTGACCGCACAATGAAGGGGGCTGAGTGCAAAGACCAAACTGGTATGGGGCATCATGTGCAAAAAACAGGCCATGCATAAAAGGGCCAAGTACAATAGAAGAATAACTATCCATGCCTAAATAAGAATTTAATCACTCCATGCCACAGCCTATAAATACAGAAGGCTCCTTCCCAGTTGGAGGGAAAGTGCCATTAGAGCATGAGCTCACCCTTTCCATTCCCTGATCAAAGAATAAAGTTTCTCCTCTGCTTTACCAAACTAGGTCTTGCTCTATTGGTGCAAACAGCACTGCGCAGAAGGACTCTGATTTGGGTCCCAGGACCTGAAGGGTTGACAACACTAAGGCTGATTTCCAAAATACCACATTACATTCCTGACTCTCCACCTTTCTGAAATGTTTTTCTCAGTCTTCGGCTAAATCCTTATGTGATGGTGTGCATTAAGAGGAACACTATTCCCCATTCTTTTCTCTTTTAATATTTTCTCTCTGGTAATTTCCTCCATGCCCATGGATTTAATTTTATTATACTGAGGATCAGTCTGAAATCTTCCAGGCATACTTTGATGCTAGTTCTCTGAGGTTCCCAACTCGTCTTGTATTTACCTCCATTAAATCAACTTTCATAATTAAAAGTGTTCTAATTATCAGTGTATCTTTTCCTATTAGAATGTCGGTTTCCTGAGTAAGTGTGACAGGCACAGAGTAGGTGCTTGATAAATATTTATGTAAATTGCTGAATTATTCTTTCATTTTCTGGATCCTATCAGATAATCTGCAGTATTACCCACAAATATATAAAACTAGTTCCAGACATATGATCCATGAATTTCTCACCTTGTGTTTTCTTTGTGTCCTCACTTTCCATGCTTGTCTGTTTTTTTTTTTTTCCCCTCCTTATTATTTCACCTATAAGATAAAGGTATTTTTCTCCATTTAAATCAATGTTTAAAATATACAGATTAGCCCTAAGCGGTTTGGCTCAGTGGATAGAGCATCGGCCTGAGGACTCAAGGGTCCCAGGTTCGATTCTGGTCAAGGGCATGTACCTTGGTTGAGGGCACATACCCAGTAGGGAGTGTACAGGAGGCAGCTGATCGATGTTTCTCTCTCATCGATGTTTCTAACTCTCTATCCCTCTCCCTTCCTCCCTGTAAAAAATCAATAAAATATATTTAAAAAAATATATATATATACAGATTAGCCCTGAGGCTCAGCTGGTTGAGCATCATGCCCTGCACAGAGAGGTTGCAGGCTTGATCCTGGTCAGGGCACATGCCCAGGTTGCAGGCTTGATCCTGGTCAGGGCACATGCCCAGGTTGCAGGCTTGATCTCCAGTTGGGGTCATACAGGAGGCAGCCGATTGATGTTTCTCTCTCTCCCCCTCTTCCTTCCTGTTTCTAAAATCAATAAAAACATATTTTAAAAAAAGAACTATACAGCCCTAGCTGGCTTGGCTCAGTGGATAGAGAGTTCGCCTGTGGACTGAAGGGTCATGGGTTTGATTCTGATCAAGAGCATATGCCTGGTATGCAGGCTCAATCCCCAGTCGGGGGGGGGGGGGGGCGGTGTTAGTGGCAGCCGATCAATGATTCTCTCTCATCATTGATGTTTCTCTCTCTCCCTCTCTCTTTCTCTCTGAAATCAATAAAAATATATTTAAAAAAGAAATATACAGATGATGTATTATAGAATTGTACACTTGAAACCAATATAATTTTATTAACCAATATCACCCCAATACGTTTAATTAAAAATTCTTTTTAAAAAATACAACAAAAATATTTCCTTCGCATAAAGAAATAAATGGATGGATGAACATTTGAGAATTCCAGGATTATAAATGCAAAGGGACAATGAAGGAATAGTTTTCCTGAAGCCAGAAGAGCAGAGATTGGGTCTACAAATTATTAGATGTGTGATACAAAGTGTGCTTTAGTTCTCTGAGACTCAGTTCCCTCTTCTGTAAAATGGGAAATTCCTACTTCATAGAGTTGTTACAAGAATTATATGTGAAAATATTAAAAAATGCAGCTGGCATTCTTAAGTACCACAGGCATTCAACACATTCTATTAAACAAACACATAAGCCCTAGCCAGTTTGGCTCAGTGGATAGAGCATTGGCCTGCAGACTGAAGGGTCCCGGGTTCAATTCCCGTCAAGGGCAAATGCCCAGGTTGCTGGCTCAGGGGCATACATGGCACTTGATCCCCAGGAGAGGGTGTGCAGCAGGCAGCCAATGATACACTATCGTTGATGTTTCTACCTCTCTCCCTTCCTCTCTGAATCAATAAAAATATATTTAATAAATAAACACAAATAGCTGGTTAACTAAACCTAACTAGTCCTCTTCTAGTCCTTCTTATTGTCTTTCCTATAAATTTTCATCCCATCCTTTCAGATTGGGCATCCCCTCATGAATCAGAAGTTTAACACATACACACAGTCATTAGCATTGCATTTCTCCTCATAAGCTAAGCTTAATAGTAAAAATTTTTCTAACAACCCATGGTTTGTTCAAGATAGTACTCCACTATTAACTTAAATCTTTGTTTATATGTTATTTGTTAGAATAATTTTTAAAATAACCAGCAGCCCTGATATGACTGACCTCTTATATGCTTTATTTTTAAATGCTAAGCTAATTTTTTAGAAAAAATATATCAGTCCAATTAACTTCTTAGACCAATAAATCAGAACTCACCGAGCTCTAAAATACTCATGTACTTTATCTTACGTGGTTCACAGGAGATACCGAATTATTTTCTATTTTTCATTCTCACTCTCAAAATGAAAATAAAATTCCCAAAACAATTTTAAATAAATGTGAGAATCTTTTACAAAGTAATATACAAACGTATACTAGTTTTGCCATTTTTTTTACCTAAATACTCCATTTAAATGTTCCATTTAGGCACATTATAATACATCCACAGGATACTGTTTACTCAAGATGTTTAAAAGTAAGGAAAAATACTTCTGTTACAAAACAGCAACATAATAACACTGGTCTCTAGCTGGTGGTTCTGTGGTGTTTACTCCAGTTTTCTATTTTTCACAATTTTTATAATACAAGTTTCTAACGTCCCGTAAGTCCTAGTGGAGGCCCAGCACTGTTCTAGAAACCTTGTAACTGTATTTTCAGTCAGTGGATTGGAGCAGCCTTCGCCTAAATGCTCCGCATCTCACCCGTCTGCACAAGTCAAGGGACGTGATCTTCCCGAGGAGGGAAGGCTAAGCCCACCGTTTCCTGAATTTCTGCTCATGAACAAGTCCGGCTCCCCGCAGAGCGGGCAGAACGCCTTTCCAATGGGCCCAACCGATGGACACAGACATCAGGGGGGTGAGGGCATGAATGTGTGTGTGTGTGTGGGGGGGGGAATGGGGGGATAAAGACACATAGGTAATACCTTAATCAACAAAGAAAAGAAAAAGCACAGGCGGCGCCTCAGGCTCTCCAACTCCTGCGAGGGGACAGGCAGGCGCTGGTTCAAGGCCCCACCACCAGCTATTCCCCAGCCGCGGGTGGGCCCGCTTCCGGTGCAGGGGCAGCAGGTGCGCCGAGCGCAGGGTCCGCCCACTGCCCGGAACGACCTCCCCATGGTTCCCACCCTCCCCACATCAGAACCACCTGGGGAGGCGCCATGGCTTCTGAAGTAGGACACTGCCAAGCTCTAGGCACCTGACTAAATGGTGGGAGCCAATGCTTTGTCCCACCAGCTGCTGAGGGGGCTGCAGCCTCCTCGGAAGGGTCCTTTCGCACACGCACAACCCGTGCCTCACGCTCAGGCCATCCCCTTCGAGGGCCGGTTAGGAAGGGCACCGCGGGGCCTTCTATATCCTGGCACTGTGAGGACCACCTGGGCCCGGGCCGCAGCCCGTCTTCCGCAGGAGGCCATGGACCGGCCCCCGGGGCAGGGCTGATGGGGGACCCGAACACGAACACGCAGGGAGCCACGGTCTTTACCCTCAAGTCGCCGGGCTCTGGGCTTCCACTCTTTATCCCTTGCTGCCTGCTACCACGACGGCAGCCGGCAGCCCGTTTCCCCCCAACAGGACAAGAATCACTTCCGTGGGGCGGGACTTCCGGCAGCCTCACCCCCAGGAGGAATCGCTCCCCAAAGGCAGGTGTTAGCGGGCCGTGGATTGACGTCTTTAAGTGGTGGAGAAGTCACAACTTGACGGGTAACTCCTCCAGTCTCCCGGCCAGGAAATGCTTCCTTTGCTCAGAGGGGCGTTCACCCCAGAGTTAGCTGTAAAGACTCCCTGATGGAAGAGGCCGTCACCCATCGCGGAGTATGGCCCGGAGGGGCCACGGGCTGCCGGCACGTGGGGCGCCGGCACGTGGGGCGCCGGCACGTGGGGCGCCGGCACGTGGGGCGCCGGCACGTGGGGCGCCGGCACGTGGGGCGCCGGCACGTGGGGCGCCGGCACGTGGGGCGCCGGCACGTGGGGCGCCGGCACGTGGGGCGCCGGCACGTGGGGCGCCGGCACGGTGTAGGAAGTCGGGCCCTAATTCCTCCCAACCTTCCCTCCGAGGTGCATTCTGTCCTTGTTTTCTGATAAAACTAATACGTCTGAAATATTTGCTTTTATATTAATTTTAATAGGGATGGTCCTAAGATGTCCAGAGCTAAAATCTGCACATGTATTAAATTCATTATTTAAGACTGTAAGAAAAAAAGTACTTAAAGCTATTTCTAATGAAACACGATTTCTGTAAGTAACTTTGAAACAGCAAGCTGAAAATGACGAATCAATTATAAATGGGTAGCTCTTATTCTCTGGGAAACATGACTGCTTCCTTCACACAGTATCCCCGCCCCCGCCCCCCACAGCCCTCCAAACATGACCACATTATTACAAATGAGAAAATGTTTATTAAGCAAACAATTTAAGTTTTCCCTTAGCAGAATTTTACAGATTAGAGCACAACCCAAAGGCAATTATAGTCTCAATTATTAACACACTACATAGGGTACTTATTCTACAACTGAAAAGTTGCTGAAGTTTGTGACATGCCACTATAAATGTAAGTATTATTAAAAATTACAAATTGTTTGGTGATTATTTTTATAACTTCTTGAGCAGCAGCTCCTGCAAGGAAAAAGGAAAACAAATCTTTGAAAAAGGTAAGTTTCAAGAATTACATAAAAATATCAATTCTGTAAAGAAAACCTTTCCTTCTTCCAAAAGCAAAGGTGTTTAAAAGTAATCCAAAACAGACATAATTTACTGTGTCATATCAAAATAAAGGACCATAATTTTTAATAACTATGTTAAAAATTTTTGTTTTATACATTCATACCTTGGGATATTATGCCACAGTTTTAAAGAATGAAGTATTTTTAATTATGGTGGTTTAGAAACATTAGCAAGATATATTAAGTAAAAAAAATCAAAATAGTAGTATAGTTGATTGCATTTTAAAGGATACATATAGGCAGAAAAGATTCTCTAAGGACTCCCTTCTGCTTTACTTTTACAATAAAAAGGGAATAAAGGTGTATTTGTTCTAAATACATTTGTAATTTGGAAAGAATCTCTATTAAATACTGCTGTAACTACTCATGCAGTTACATAACAGAAGAACAAAACAAAACACAACAAAACAACAGAAGAGCCGAAACCAGTTTTGCTCAGTGGATAGAGCATCGGCCTGCGGACTGAAGGGTCCTGGGTTCGATTCCGGTCAAGGGCATGTACCTGGGTTGCGGGCACATCCCCAGTGGGGGATGTGCAGGAGGCAGCTGATCGATGTTTCTCTCTATCTCTCTCCCTTCCTCTGTAAAAAATCAATAAAATATTAAAAACAAACAAACAAAAAAAACAGAAGAACAAACAAAAAAATTACTAAGAAAGAAATTCTTCATCTTTTATAACCTAAAGCTTGATCTTTCACAAACA